AACTGAAAACCAAAACAAAATGTGCACCTACATGTATGTAATGTATATGAGAATTCTGTTACAAGGATTTTTTTTATTGAAATGAAATTCCAAGTTGAACATGCAAGCCATAACACTGAAGAGGCTCATGAAATACTTTACATTTGCTTGCAAATGTTTCCCGTGTCTTGGTTTTAGAGTTCTTATCTTGGAAGTCGACTAAAAGATTTACTGAATTAGACGTGACCTTCTTCTTCCAAACAATCGTAACTTATAAGGGCAGAACAGTTTAAATATTTGCCAACCCAATAACCATCTATAACCCTTTTTTATAAACGTCCAGTAGTGTAACCTCTGTAAAGGTGGAGCGGCTTTATAGGGTGCTTAGCTGAAATGGTATTTCAAACAGGAAATAGTGCTGGGACCTAAGTCAAATGGAATCAGGTACAGTACTGTTAACTGTTAACGTTTTTTTCAGTAATGCTGACTGCACACTTCCATTCCCTACCACAAAAAAAAAACAATTTTATTACTAAAATCAAAGAACCCACATATTATAGAAGAAGTGGGTAAATTCGTCTTCCATTGCCTAAAAAGAAGACGTCAAACCCAGTGAAACTAGTACCATGTATGTTGTAGAATATAGTATTATGCTAGACGTAGATAAATTATATACGTATATGGGACGTAGACGTATATGGGACATGTATTTTCTGTCTTATGTTGTTTGTAACTGCACTATAGCCCTCGGGCAAGTATTTGCAATAAACTTTCTTCTATTTTAGTTATGAAAAGGAAAAAAAATCTAACTTAATTTATATATATATGAGTGCTCATGTCTAGACTGTACCTTAATTAAGACTTCAGAGGTGGCTGGAAAGAGTCAAAATTGACCAAACAGACAGATAACATGCCAGGGGAGTCAGGCTGCTATTATATTATACAGTAAATTCTTTAGCAGGCTCACTCCCCTGACATGTATCTAGATCTGTCTGTTTGGCCAATTTCAACTCTTTGCCACCTATGTCTATGAAGCCTGGTAGAGGCAGCACTCATATGACTTTGGTCTGAAGCCCAAAGCACAGACTTTTCACGACTCATTGGTACCCAATGTGATTGAATTAAGTCCTATAATGGCTGTTTTTGTAGTTCCATATGCAACCATTTTCAATTTAGTCTAGAGCCATGAACAACATGTGGTTTACATGAATTTTAAATTTAAGATCCCAATTGTATACCATCCAGGATATAAAATGCTACTCATAATTTTGGTATCAACAGTTGAAGAAAGTTATTTTTCTCAAGGTCTTTTAATTCACACTTTTCCATTATTTTATCAGTACATAATAAATTAACATTAAATAAAAAGTCATACATATAATTTACAATTTGAGATTGCTGAATTTGGTGGTACTACCAGTGTCATGTTACATCTCTTTAATATTTGTATCTGGATATTCATTATTTCTTGTTTATTATTCAATTTTGGCCTCTCCAGCAGTTTTCTGTATAAATCAAATATTGGTGTGGCTTAAATCCTTTTGAAATTGAAAGGAAAAAAGCCTGGTTTGTTGTATTTCCAACGTTAACATAGAAATGTTGAAGGGGCCTTTTTGGATAACAAATTACTAATTAAAAGTACATCCATGTTGATATTTAATAAAGATTTGATTTGATCCTGTTCACATTCAAAATTTTGATATTAGGCCATTAGATTTTATTTACAAAGTCTTATAAGAGTATGTCTATCCAAGGAGGTTTTCAACCCTTTTTTAATTAATACCTGTGAAATGACACAGGAAATCATTATTTTGTAAATTATCCCTCATTTTACATGGCCCAGTTTCACATGGCCCAAATTTTAGGGACACTGAAACATATGACCTTTCAACGTGTTGCTGTTACAAAATGATTTTTGGCAATTTGCTGTCTGGTGTACTCAATCATATTCTATCTGATATCAACTGACAGAAATTGATCACAACATGATAAAAATTGATTGGTACTTCAGGTGTAATGTGGAATGTTTCATTTCAAAATAAAATACAGTCATAAAATTTGTATTGATTTGTAGGTGGTTATATTGGATGCCAGGTCTTCATGAAACCTACAAAATTTTACCTGTAAAATTGGAGCTGTGCAGGTGTTTCTGATGATACACCTAACTTGCACTGGTCCATGTACTGGGTATACATGATAACAAGTACAATGTACATGTATGCGGGTTAGTGTAATACTAGGTAAAATTTGAGCTGTGCAGGACTGTTTCTCATGTCTATATCTAGCTTGCACCTAACTTGTATACTCAGGTCCATGTACTGGGTTTCAGTGATTGTTTGAAGTGTAAAAGAAATAAATGAGAATGGTTTCTGAACAGTTTTAGTATGATCCATACACAGTACTTCCTAAAATCTGAGTGGTTCAGGTAAAATTTGTCTGGTGCAGGTAATTTTCAGTGTTACCTGTACCAATGCAAGTATGTAGAAACAAGCATTTCGAGCCCTAGATGGTCTTCCATCGAAACAGCCAATGTTTTGTACATCTGCGACCGTGATCCTCCTAAGCATGAATAATTTGCTAGCTGTCCTTCTGTGTGTACAAGGGGAAGAGTGTAGGCGGCAAGGTTGAATGTGGGAAGAATACGTAATGCCCCTGTTTCATGCTGCAATGGCGGAAGGCTGTACCCTGGCTCATCTTCACTCTTTCTGATTATCAGGTGTGCTACTTAAATCGCTGGGTTTGTGGGAGTATAATCTTATATCGATCAGGAATACATATACCTTTACCGTTCTATCTTTTCAAGCAATTCTGTTCTAGCCATTCTACCGACTGATATCTAATAACCAATTAAAATGTCTAGTACATAAACATGCAATAGATGCAATGGTAGATAGGGTGATGGATTTTGTATTTGTTTGTAGAACAAAATTTATATATATATATATATTATATGATATAATATTTTTAATATTAACTGATCGTGAAGGCAGTGAATGAGGCGTTTTTTTGTTCAGAAATCTGTTTTTCAGATATCGTGTTACAGACATTAGGCAATTTTGTTCTTCCTGCTGAAGTCCACCCACACATTCACGTAGGCAGCAGAATCTGTAAATTGGTCATTAGATGACTGATGTTCATCTCCTAAACTCAATTTTTTTTCCTTAAATCAAAGCTTATGTTGGTTGGGATGATCTATCCATGTTTTTTTTTTTTATTTCAACCGGGCTGTAAAGGTTGAAATGATAACTTCAACATAAAGGGTTTTTTGAAATCCATTTCTTAAATTACAAGAAAGGACAACCATGAATATCTTCTTCCTCGTTACGCCATTGTTGAATCGGTTTTATTTTCGGTATCTGTATCGATATAGCTGGTATAACCGCCCTTTGGTGTAACACACCAGCTTCGCAGGCACGCGGCGCGGCGGCAGCTAGCTATATCACACCGAACGGCTTGTTATACTCAATCTTTGCACATTTGATTGCAGGAGTTGTTTAAAGCTTTCTAGTGATGATGCCCCAACTGTGCTTTGTGGCAACGAGTTCCAGTCTACGATAGTTCTGGGGAACTGTCTAGCAAAGTACAGCCCCCGGTGAATGGTTGTCAAAATAGTGACGTTTACGGGACACTCACTTGAAAGTTATCTCAGCTGTAGAGTTCGATTTATGTCTTTGACTATTTTTATTTACCTTCTTTGTTATCAGATTTGCCAATTCATTCATTTGCTGCTTTGGCAGTTATAACACTTACCACAGTCAGCGATTTGCTCTGTCAAACAGAGAGGAACTGTACATGGAGCTAGATAGAGCAGGTCTAAAACAACCTTCTACCCAGATATTCTGTTAGCTTTACTGCAAACGTGTCTCGCTGTGTTTAGGCTGGCAGCTCTCTTTTTGTTGGGAGTTTACTTTGGTATCAGCAGCCGTCTACCAGAAGGATTATGGCTAAGCCCTCGACAAACTCTGACCAGAAGAATAGAACAAAAAGAAACAGATGCAGTAACTGCTCAGAGACAGGCAGGCAGGGACTGATCAGAGGTGCTTTAAGGGTTTCTTTAGATTTTTGGACTTGATTTTCATGCAACGTTTTTAGGTATATTAACATTTAGCTTATTTTGTTTTTATTGCTTTACATTTTTTGTGCCTAGTAACATGTTTCCATGTTTTTCTTTAATTCATTGATTCTATCTTTTGTCCTTTATTGCTCCATTTTGGAGACCCTTATGAACATAATTTGATACAATTTTAACATACTGTTCAGTAGGTATACATAAAATATGATGTATGGTTTAAATCTACTTTTTCATCTTGTCTTGTTTTACTCAATGCATTTGTTTACTTTTAGTATTAGCTTTAATCGTGGTTGTAAGAGTGATAATATTATTAATAAATAGCAGAGAGGTGAATGAAAGTCCAAGAATTGTCATTATAAATTGTGTTTTTAAGTATCGCAAATAGCTGAATTTCATATTGTTTTTTGTATCATGGACTTGGCGATACGTATAACGTACCTGTTTATTGAATATTACAAAGTTGGTAGTGTGATAATACCCATGCAATTTAGTTCATTTGGAATACTTGTTATTTTTCATGTTTTCAGCAAACGAGATACATTCCTACCCCGTTTGCTCTACATTTAACTCTGGGTGTGATTGATGGCGTAATGCAGCCTTTTAAATGACAGATTGACGTCAACAATTATCATGACACTTATATAAGTCCCTAGAGATGGTGCTTTATTAGAAAATCTATGTTTACACAATTTATTGGTTCTTGAAAACTCTACCCTCACGTTTTTACCCCAAATTTTCAATGAAATGAAATGCCTATTACATATCCGAATGCAGCTTTTTTTTGCTTTCATTAGAATTCCAGGTTTTCTTGTGCACATATATCACTGGCTTGAAAATGAAAACCGCCCCCTCTATCTTCACTTGGTACAGTCCACTTATGTTAATGACCCCCTGCAGCGAGGTAGGATGTGGCTGTGATGCAGCCTGATTTATCTGCAAAGCAATTACCGTCTCTCTCCGCACACCTGTGTCAAGGTAATTTTCACAACCTGTTGGATCACGACGCGTCTCCTTTTTCCGTAGATCTCGGCGCAGGATTCCAAATTCGGGGAGCGGATCTAGGTACGAGTGATGCTCCAGGACTGGCTTGTCTCATCGGGAGGATGTGAGAGAAAGAGGAGGGTAGATACAAGAGGCGGGAGGGTTCAGAAACAACAGGTCCTGTGAAGTCAACGTCGTGAGACCCGGGATGGCAGCCTGTGGGGGGACCGCCCAGGGAAGCAGAGGCAGGATGGAGGCCGTCTTCAAGGGAAGCCTTCAGAACGTCAACCTTAAGCAATACAGCAGGTGCATCAAGGTGTTCCTGTCGGCAACGCCCTCAGGTACGTTACCCAAAATAGCAGCCCTCGATATTTACTCCGCTGCAATATGGATGTCAGAAATCCTGCCGCCACTGTTGAAGTACTTGCGTGTAGTGAAACCACTTGTGTGCGTGTTGGGTGATGTATGTATGGGCAACAAAGGGCGCTATTTTGACATCTGGGATGGACGGTGTTTGTCTAAATTAGCACATTTGTTGCATCATTTGGAGACAACATAAAGCCCGGCCAGGAGTGTGCATCTGCAGTGAATACAAATCGCATTCGTGTGGTTTGTTTTGCTAAATGCGTGACAGAATATATCCCAGTGCCCATCTCCCAGCTCTATTCATGAATGCTGCAGTAGATGCATTAAACATAATAGAGAGTGTAAACAAGCTGGTAATGTATTTGCCAGGATGGGGGTTTGAGTAGATGTTGGCTGCAAAGCTGGTGTAATTTCGGGGCACTAGATTATAAACAGATAAGGCTCTGTTGCTCACTGTGATAAGTATGCATACTGTAATTGTGGTGTTCTGAGATGAATACATAAAAACAAAAGGATATATTGTTGTTAATAACCTTTTCATAGTTGTACAAATTGTAGACAATAGCTTTTTTTTTTTTTTTACTTCAGTACTGTAACATTAATTGAAACAAGACTTTGATTTTTAGTATTACAAATGTACCTAGTTTTTTAGTATCATAAAATATCTGTTTCTTAATGAATACAGAAATTATTATGATACTGCTCTTATTTATGACTTTCAGTCAGAAAGCATGCAGTCTTGCTGCTATGGAAGGTGTTTATGAATAAATATAGTAGTAATGTTTTCATATGATACAGCCTGAAACAGCAATCATATACCTTTTGTTATTATTCATTGCTATTATTTTGAATATTTATTGGCTACTATTTTGCCACATGGCATGATTTTGGTGGCCTGATTTTGGTGGCGGTCTCTTTTATCAAGACAATTACTTGCAATTAAAAGGAAAATTATAATGGCATCATATTTTTGACAATTACTTTTTTTAATGATGCCCTGTCTGTCTTTACTTACTACTTGTCAAAAATTATGGGAAACAGAAACACGATCTTCCTTTTAGCCCGGCACAAATTCTCAAGAGAAAAGAAGCATTACTGATAATGGGAAATTATAAAAGGAGCCAGAATTAGAGTGCATGCATTCATATATCCCTCTGGTATAGGCAAAATTCCATTTATTTCTTTGAAATTATTTCTTCCAGCAAATCGTGGGCAATTTTTTTCCTTGTAAGTTTTACTACTACCATTGTGATGATTCAAAGGGAATATAGTTGTTTTGCATTTCATGAGGTTTCAATAATTTGAAAATAAATGATTCCTCAGTAACGCCATTATATTAAAAATTTGTCACAAACATAGCCCCCATAAATGGAATTATAAGGCCACACCAATTTAATTTCTTGGTTAATGGATTCGCCCGCTTCATTTTTTTCTGATTTGCAAAAAAAAAAAAAAATTCAGAATCAACTGCAAAATGCTCTTCCTAGTTGTTACAGTTTTTCCATTTTTCAATGCAGTGGTATCATTAAAAGTTCAAAATTCATTGTTTAAATTTTGAACCAGCCTGGTGTGTTGACCTCGTGGCTCCTATCGTACCATTTTGGGCCATAATAGGATGCCTTAAGGCCTGTTTTTATTTATTTTTTTTTGCCCACCCGCTCCATTATTTTTCTAGAAAAATCCGTTAACCAAGAAATTAAATTGGTGTGGCCTAAGATTGTAAAATACAGTTTGTATATCAGTTTTTCACTGTATCATTTATAGATTGTGGAGTGCAGGGAAATACAAAAATTTGTACATATTGTACTGAATAAGATATGGGAAAATTTTTCTTTATTTATTGATTCTGCATAGAACTAATCTGTTTAAATCAAAATGTCACATACATTACAGACGACAGTTGGATGGGTGGGTATTTATATGGTATAGTCTTAACTGTATCACCCTCCAAATCAAATCAAAGGAAGAATTGATGTATAATGCACTTGCAGTATATCCCAGTGGGATTTTTCTCTTATTGCTGGATTGTAAACTGTCATGTTTATATCTAGTCATATATTCAAATCCTAATTTTACACAATATTATATAACCCAATAAAAACACAGAGTGATAAGTCTTCCATAATTTGACTTACTAAGATTTACATTTGTGATTCTAATTCTAATTATATAATATTATATAATAGGTGACTAAAAATCCAATTTTAATCCAAAATCCATCCAAATTATGTATCCTAGTATAGCCCAGATGTTTTTTCTTATTTTTCTTATTTTCTTATGTTGAGAAATATTTTCTTGCCAGGGGGATTTTCAAGAAAATTCAAGAAACATTCTTCAAAGATTTTCTATGTTGATTCTTACACAAAGAATTTTATTCTTCTTTTTTCTTAAGAAAAGAAAATATTTCTACTATCATGCTCACCAACAAGAATCTTAAGAATTTTTAGAATTCTAAGAAAGTTTACGGTATTTTTTTTCTACTATAAGAAATCTTTTCTTGTGTACAGAATGGTTTTCTTGCTTCAAGAACAGTTAGTTCTTAGTTCAAGAAATATTTTCTTATGGACAGAATCGTTTCCTTGCTACGGGAATTCTTGAATTTCTTGTTCAAAGAATAATTTTCTTGCTACAAGATACCATTTCTTTGTACAAGGAAAACAAGAAAAACTAGAAAAAAGTATTTTTGGTAGTCAAAATGATCTCCCTTTCTCAAGCACAGTAGTACAGGCAACTAACATTACATGTACATGTACCCTTGTTTAGCCTACAAATGCTACAAGGTTCAAATGCAGGTACATTTTCATTGTGAGTCCTTCTCTCCACTGCATTCTGACAACAAAGTGTAACATTGTGACAAGAAGTACATTTGTAAACCTGCTGGAGATTTCATCCGAACGTGTAACGCTAATGTTAAAGCAACGTGACTTTGTTTACTTCACAGGGCTTGAAATACTGGGTGCATGTGCACCTTAGTGCACTCAAATTTGGAACTGTGCACCCAATTTTTTTCTGTGGGTGCACTGATGCACCCAAATATTTTTGTAGATATTTTTGTACATACTAAATGAATACTAAATGTAATAGTATACAGGATATTCTTGGCATCTAAGTGTCAGTAAAATAATAAAATCTTTGTTGTAGTACAGATTAAAGCTTAGAAGAGGAGCAGCAAAAAATTTTTGTGCACCTAATTATTTTAGGTACATGTAATACCCGGTGCACCAGTACACCTATTCCCAAAAATGAATTTCAAGCCCTGCTTCATGTGGATAGCAGCCATTGCCAAGGCCAGGTCACATAACAGAAAGTCAAGAATAGACTCTAAAGTCTTCAATATACACAGAATTTCAAATCATTGTTAGAATTTTCTTGTAGGTGTATGAGTCAGACAAGGAACTGATTTTTGTTGTAGGGTCTATATTTAGCACTGCTCATGCATAATAGTAATAAACACATTCAAGGAACCATAAATTTTGTCCTTTGTTTTGGCAACACATACTTTTGTGACAGCACAAATATCAATATTGGGGAGATCTGTGTTGTCACAGTCAGACCGGCTTTTGTCAGATTTGTCTGCAACATTACAACATGCAAGAAAAAGTATTTCGAGCTGGTTTGTAATCTACAATTGGCACTCAAGTTAGCAGGGCTCGAAATACTTTCTTTCTACATGTTGCAATGTTGCGGACAATTTTCCCCTACATTATGCAGAATTTAGGAAGTACTGATCATACTAAAAACTGTTTAGAAACAATTACTATTACATTAAATGTATTATTTTCTGTAATTTATACTTCATAGGTGGTAACAGTCAATGCAGCAAATACAAATCCACATGTATAATTATTATACTATATAAACCCAGTACATGGACTGGTGCAGGTTAAGTGTAGGTAGACATGATAGAAATAACATTACAGCTCCAATTTTATCTGCACTAACCTGCATATCTAACCTGCATATGCAGGTGGGATTTCTGGCCCTGTAATCGGAATCATGAATTCAGTCTCAATTTATGGTAGGGGCGTCCTTTCCAGATAAAAGCTTTGACAGCTCGTTTGATCTAATATAATCAGCCACTAATTGTACGCTTGTAATTCAGGCTTCAAAGCGAGAGAAGTCAGCCATACAAAATACAAGATATGAATCTTTTGGAAATCCTGATGAAGCGATGTGCCTGCTTGCATGCTAAACTGTAGCGGTGGCTGTCGCCAGGTTTCTCAGCCAGAAACTCGACTCAGTTGAAAGGCTGCCTATATTTTGTAAGTCCCCACAAAGACATCTAGTTATGCTCATCACTTACTGGCAAGACTTGATGATGCCTCCTTTTGCTATCAGCCCAAGAAGAGATCTAGACAGTCACGCATTTGCCAATATGTTAAAGGACTTGGGATGATTCATGTTTGGTATGTAGGATTACAAGCCCAACATTACTTCTTTCCAACTAGTCCCAGGCAGCCCATTGTGCCCGGCAGAAGGATCTACCTTGGTGAGAGTTTTGATAACCGCCTTTACCCTACATATCTTGCCATTCAATCATGCCTTATATAGGAGGGAGCAATACATGCAGCTGAATCAGGAAAGGTCTGAAAAGATTCTTCAGACGATTACTTGTTGAAGACAACAAATGGGAATGTATATGAAAGTTAAATCTAAAAAGAACAACCTAAATAGAACTGAACAACCTAAATAGAACTTTACAAATTAGTCCCTCCGTCACCATTTTCAAAAATCATATATACTAAAGTAGCTTTCATAAATAACCCCACACATTCTTAATTTTTGTTTAAGTTTCCTTGTTCACTACTTTTCATTACTACTTTTCATTATTGTAGATAGTATTGTATCGTATTGTATTTTATTGTTTTGTTTCATTTACCCGTTACCTAAGTTATTTCTTATTTATCCGATTTATTTGAATTGTTAATTACGTTATGAAGGGAAGCCTCCTCATAAGCATTTTATGCTTCTGGCC